TGTAGCTAATGCAGTCTTCTGCTACCCCCTGCTTACTCTTTCACCCTGAAGGCGGCACGGCAGACAGCACCGCTTGGACAGCGACTGGTGTGTAACGGACATGCACCATCTTTCAGGAAAGATTAAGAAACATGAGCTGTCAAAGACCCACATGGATAGCTGTTTGAGATTGTCTGCTTTGGGGAGTGAACATTGCCACTCAACTGGATGAGGGATACAGGCTAGCTGTCCGCCGCCACAACGATGAGGTTAGTGTTGATAATCACAAGTTTACTGGAGAACTGAGACCAAGTAGAGACTTTGGACAGGGTGGATATGGTATAATAAAGGCAGTTTATTCAGAGGTAAAGATATCTGGAATCGCGTGCACGGACCCGTTCGTTATCTGAAGACAATGTTTCATTGTGTGCAGACATTTTATGCAATAAATGAAGTAGGTTGAATCTAGTAGTTCTGATCTTCTGATTGGTCCTGATGAGTTGGGCGAGGTCCCCTCCAGGCTAGTGTCACTGTTGCATTGGCTCTGAGTCGGGTTCTCTGTCTTCAAATGTTCAGCCTAAGAGAGGGGATTTTTGTGTGTGTGTGTGTGTGTGTGTGTGTGTGTTTAACAGTGATGATGTGTGTGTGTGTATGTGTGTGTGTGTGTGTTTAACAGTGATGATGTGTGTGTGTGTGTGTTTGTGTGTGTGTGTGTGTGTGTCCTCAGAGCAAGAACTCGTGAGTTGGAAGAACTGAGAGGCCTATGGCGTGGGTGTTGTCCTTGGCCACCTGCTGACAAGGCTGACAAGATAGGACCCTTTTGTCCATTGTTATTGGATAGGAACAGAACTTATAACCAGCTCCTGACCTAAATAGATCTTAGCACAACATTTTACTCAACATATCATATTCCATATTCACTATAACAAATATATTTACTACGACATTAGCAAGAACCGCCACATCCTCAGCCGGCTAATCCAGTGTGTGAAGTTTTGCGGAGTGTTTGAGTTAGCTTTGCGAGGCAAAGATGAAACTGAGGGCTCCACCAACCCTGGTAAGCCAACACTTTTGAGATCAGTCAATAAATGCTTCTGGTATTGACTTATATGCTGCCTGTCTTCATGTTCTTGCTGGACATATCTTTTTTAAAATGTGTGTAGGTCACCTAAATCATCAGAAAAATTGCCCCCCCTGAGAATTTTTTCAGGAGCCGCCACTGCCAACTTCATAGTGTGGAAATATATAAAACATAGGAAAATCTCATTTCTGACTGCACTGGGCCTTTAATGAAGCTCCCAGTTCCCAGACCTTGGTGCTGGTGCCAGCTGGTTGATGTGAGTTGGCAGAAACGGGGCACTTCAAAACGCACTGGAGTGCAAGCTAAATAATGAAGTTATCACAGGGGGAATTGGATAAAACATTAAATGATGCCCAAAAGAGTTTGAACACCCTCAGTGTGTGCAAATTAAGCAATACAACATGTTCACATTATTAATGTGACTGTAGATTTAAGCTAAACGCAAGCCACTGGTCACTGCTTGGTCACAATATCTTTCAGACCACTGTTTTGTTGCAAAATGGTGTACAGTGCTATTTGGTTCATAAGCCAAAGATACTACAGACCAATTTGTATTTCTTCCTGAGTGTAGACTGTTTTAAATACCTGGGTTTTTAGTTTATGTGATAACATACACATAGCCGCAGGGGTGCTGCAGCACCCCCTGATAAATCAAAAAAATATGCAGTGCATTCGGAAAGTATTCAGACCCCTTGACTTTTTCCACATTTTGTTACGTTACAGCCTTATTTTAAAATTGATTAAATTGTTCCCAATATACACACACACAACACCCCATAATGACAAACCAAAAACAGGTTTTTAGAAATCTAGCAAATGTATTCAAAATAAAAATATCACATTTACGTAAGTAGTCAGACCCTTTACTCAGTACTTTGTTGAAGCACCTTTGGCAGTGATTACAGCCTCGAGTCTTCTTAGGTATGACGCTACAAGCTTGGCACACCTGTATTTGGGGAGTTTCTTCCATTCTTCTCTGCAGATCCTCTCAAGCTCTGTCAGGTTGGATGGGGAGCGTCGCTGCACAGCTATTCTCAGGTCTCTCCAGAGATATTAGATCGGGTTTAAGTCCGGGCTCTGGCTGGGCCACTCAAGGACATTCAGAGACTTGTCCCGAAGCCACTCCTGCATTGTCTTGGCTGTGTGCTTAGGGTCGTTGTCCTGTTGGAAAGTGAACCTTCGCCCCAGTCTGAAATCTGGATCTCTGTACTTTGCTCCGTTCATCTTTCCCTCGATCCTGGCTAGTCTCACAGTCCCTGCTGCTGAAAAACATCCCTACAGAATGATGCTGCCACCACCATGCATGGTGCCAGGTTTCCTCCAGATGTGACGCTTGGCATTCAGGCCAAAGAGTTCAATCTTGGTTTCATCAGACCAGAGAATCTTGTTTCTCATGGTCTGATAGTCTTTAGGTGCCTTTTGGCAAACTCCAAGCGGGCTGTCATGTGCCTTTTACTGAGGAGTGGCTTCTATCAGGCCACTCTGCCATAAAAGGCCTGATTGGTGGAGTGCTGCAGAGATGGTTGTCATTCTGGAAGGTTCTTCCATCTCCACAGAGGAACTGCTAAGCTCTGTCAGAGTGACCATCAGGTTCTTGGTCACCTCCCTGACTGACCAAGGCCCTTCTCCCCCGATTGCTCAGTTTGGCCGAGCGGCCAGCTCTAGGAAGTGTCTTGGTGGTTCCAAACTTCTTCCATTTAAGAATGATGGAGGCCACTGTGTTTTGGGGGACCTTCAATGCTGCAGACGTTTTTTATTACCCTTCCCCAGATCTGTGTCTCGCAACAATCCTGTCTCGGCGCTCTACGTATAATTTCTTCGACCTTATGGCTTGGTTTTTGCTCTGACATGCACTGTCAACTGTGAGACCTTATATAGACAGGAGTGTGATTTTACAAATCATGTCCAATCAATAGAATTTACCACAGGTGGACTCCAATCAAGTTGTAGAAACATCAAGGATGATCAATGGAAACAGGTTTCACCTGAGCTCAATTTCGAGTCTCATAGGAAAGGGTCTGAATATTTATGTAAATGAGGTATTATTTTTATTATTTTTATACATCTGAAAACATTTCTAAAAACCTGTTTTCTCTTTGTCATTATAGGGTATTGTGTGTAGCTTGATGAAAATTAATAAATAATTTTATTAATTTTAGAATAAGGTTGTAACATAACAAAATTTGGGAAAGGTCAAGGGGTCTGAATACTTTCCAAATCAAGGGATCAGTTCAGGGTAGAAATACAGAAGAGCTCTATGATTTTAAAAAAAAAGACTCGAAGTTTTTAGAAAACAAAGAGGATTTATTTTGTTCTCATTTTAAAAAGTGTGTTATGGAAAACCACAACCAGATCAAACCCAACAACGTGCAATGCTACTCCGAGGAACATATCGGAATCTAGACACTGGAATTATAGTTCCTGGGCTAGGAATCTGGGATATGGCTCTCTCTCCAGACACAGAGACAGGTAATAGATTCAGGAATTGGGATAGAGCCAGAACTCTGAGTAACCAATGGACAGTGTAAATATCAATGGTTCAGGACATGACATACTATATTACTCAAGGTCCCGGCCAGCCACATAGAACCAACCCACATTTGGCTTTTTAAAGAGACAGAGACCAAAGCACAGAAAATATCAGGTTTAACACAGAAACTGCATTGAAAAGGCATCAGGCCTGGCTCCTATCATCATCATAATCTTCACAGTGATAAGTAGCTTACAGAGTGGGTGGAGCCAGAGCTGCATTGACCCCCCCATCTCTGTCCAATCAGACGATAGCATCAAAGGCATTTAGAATGTTCATTTTGTTCTGTTCTCATTGTAAAAAGGCAAAAAATATTAAACATTTCAGAGAAAACGCATAAAACGTAGTGTTCAAATCTGTCTGAACCATTTGGTATAAGTAAATTCCTTTGTTCAGCCCACTCGGAACAGAGCTTAATTCGTATTTTACAAAAATGACATTATCATCAATATTAAAGGACGAATCACAAATTAGGTTTGTGTGTATCACGTCAGAGGTTACCTCTCCCCAGATCCATCAAAGACTGCCAGAGGATATTGCTCACACAGTTAGCATGTTAGCGGCTAAAGGGTCAGTCTATGTATTTCCTATGGGAGAGAGCGCACATAACCCTTATAGACTAGACCCGTGGCAGTTCTACTACATCTGTTAATAGACTATATAAAGTACATAAGTCACCATTTATCCACAACCCGCATACCAGTACACAGAAACAAGAGGCAGTCCTGCAGTTCATAACCATTCCTTTGTAGAAATGAACCTCCCTTCACAGGCACACACAAACTAAAACAGACCAAGGACACAGATACCCATTCTGTGTGTATTACACTTAAACATAAAAAAAACATTTTATCCCTTTTGTATCTTCTTTTTTTTCAATTAAAAAACATTTCATCACTTGACAGTACAGTACAATACAGGTACACACAGACAACGCGCTCTAACATGGAGAACACCCCCTCCCCCCGTACGTACACAGACATACCCACACACAGACACACAAGTGACATTCCTCTCAGTGTGTGTGTGGATCAATGTGTATCTAGTGGCTTGGGGGGTGGGAGTGAGACTGTGTGTGGATCAGAGCCAGAGGTCTTCTAGGAGAATGAGTTTTTAATACTGTCAGTGTGTTAGTGTAATAAAGGTGACGTAAGTACGACTCAGCAAAAGACAGGGAACCAATTGGGGGACCCCTCGTTTCCCTATAAAGTTTATAAATAATCTTACCACCTGCATAGTGCAGTTCAATGTCCTATTGAGATTGGCAACCACACAAAGATCAGTGTCCGCAATAAGCCTGTATGTGACTGGTGCTGCTTCCTCTGTAGCCACCATCTGATTGGTCAGTCTCAGATGAGGGGGACTAACACAGACTGGGTGGAGCCTAGCTTAACATGGGAGGAGTCTAGCTCAGTGTGGGAGGAGCATGCGTTCCAGGGCACACTGCAGGTGCTCCCAGTTCTTCCAGATGACCGCCAGTAGGGACAAACCCACGCAGGTGAGTGCCAGGTGCACGCGGCTCCGCAGGAGGGGCGCGGTGAACTTGGCTGCCGTGGAAACGCACACCAGGATCACCGTGACGATGGCCAGCATGATGTTGATGCATTTTCCCAGCAGCACCTTGGCGTCTGTGTTCTCCACTTGTACCGTCTGCTGCTGCTGCTGCTGGAGCTCCAGCTTAGAGACACGCGTCTGACACGACTCCAGAGCCTCCTGTAAACACAGAAACACACACGCATTCAGTTAACATTTGACACACAGGCTTAGATAAAGTTACTGACTATATACAGCTTAGATAGATGTGTAGGGGGCATGTTTGTAGAGGGCATGTTTGTTGATCTGTGTTTGTACATACCTGGATGTCCCTAGCTCTCTCGTAGGCCTGGTAGGCCACCTTCTCCTCGATGCTGGCCAGCTCCTGCTTCAGGTTACTGGTCTCATGCTGGTGCAACTCTGTCAGGTCATTTAACTGGTCCTCTAACCGCTCAAACCTAGTAGGGAGAGGGAGGGGGAGAGAGAGCGTGAAGGGGAGAGAGAATGATACGTCTTATTACTGAATACACAGCTTCATTTCCAAAGCAAACGTGTGTCCATCTCTTCCTTCACCAATGTCAAATCAAATAAAATTTTATTGGCCACATGCGCCAAATACAACAGGTGCAGACATTACAGTGAAATGCTTACTTACAGCCCTTAACCAACAGTGCATTTATTTGTAATAAAAAAGTAAAATAAAACAACAACAAAAAAGTGTTGAGAAAAAAAGAGCAGAAGTCAAATAAAATAACAGTAGGGAGGCTATATATACAGGGGGGTACCGGTGCAGAGTCAATGTGCGGGGGCACCGGCTAGTTGAGGTAGTTGAAGTAATATGTACATGTGGATAGAGTTAAAGTGACTATGCATAAATAATTAACAGAGTAGCAGCAGCGTAAAAAGATGGGGTGGGGGGGCAGTGCAAATAGTCCGGGTAGCCATGATTGGCTGTTCAGGAGTCTTATGGCTTGGGGGTAGAAGCTGTTGTGAAGTCTTTTGGACCTAGACTTGGCAATGTGTGTGTGTGTTCTCTGTGTTTTTGTTGTGTGTGAAGCAATATCTAGATATGCGTGTTGATAAATCAGCCCTAAGTTGACAGTATCAACAGTCAACAATTTTATTTAGGTATTCTCTGAAACAAGATTATGGTTTAAGGTGGGAAATAGTGAAGTATGCCTAGAAAAGCATAAAGTGAAACAGCTAGAAAGATATTGGTCCTCTCCAGCTGTTAGTGGTCGGTATGGAGGATGTTGGTGGTATGTCTGTACGGAGGATGTTGTTGGTACATCTGTACGGAGGATGTTGGTGGTACGTCTGTATGGAGGATGTTGGTGGTACGTCTGTATGGAGGATGTTGGTGGTACGTCTGTATGGAGGATGTTGGTGGTACGTCTGTACGGAGGATGTTGGTGGTACGTCTGTACGGAGGATGTTGGTGGTACGTCTGTACGGAGGATGTTGGTGGTACGTCTGTATGGAGGCTGTTGGTGGTACGTCTGTATGGAGGCTGTTGGTGGTACGTCTGTACGGAGGATGTTGGTGGTACGTCTGTATGGAGGCTGTTGGTGGTATGTCTGTATGGAGGATGTTGGTGGTACGTCTGTATGGAGGATGTTGGTGGTACATCTGTACGGAGGATGTTGGTGGTACGTCTGTATGGAGGATGTTGGTGGTACGTCTGTACGGAGGATGTTGGTGGTACGTCTGTATGGAGGATGTTGGTGGTACGTCTGTATGGAGGAAGACTCATGGGGAGAAGTGTCTGAAAGATTGGGGTCTTTATACCCTGAAATGAGGGTGTGTGTGTGTTTGCTTTCTGTACTGATTTGTGTGTGTGGGTGTGTGTGTGTGTACGCCATTGTCTGCACCAACCTGTATCTCTCCTCCTGCAGCGTCTGTGTGATGAAGCTGTAGTCTCTCTTGAACTGGCTTTTTAGTGACTCCATGTCCTCGGCCAGCTGTACCTGGGCCTCCCTAATCTCCCTGACCTCCTCCAGCACCTCCCCCAGCCTCCCCTGAGAGTCCGACCTTCCCATACCGCCCCCTGACCCCAACCCCGACCCGCCCGCCGGGTTCCCGTTGGAGTCGGCCGACACAGAGGTCCCCGTGGAACATTCGTCGTCGCTGGGGTACTTGGCCTTGGCAATCGTGGTGGCGCTGCCGCTCAGCGCCCGTGCCCCGGCTCCGCCTTCCGCCTGGAGCCCCGCCCCCGTCTCCATGGAGCTCTTCATGTGGGCGATGTTGTCGGCGCTGCCGAACTTGTTGCGGATGAGGTTGGCGAACTCCCGCGACTTGTTGAAGAAGAAGGGGGGCGAGAGGGAGACCCCGGGGCCGATGGTCTTGACTTTGTCCATTGCCGGGTGGCGCACGCTGGCCGAGCTGATGTCCCGCAGGCTGCCGTCCTTCTGGCCCTCCTTGCCCCCCTCCCCCCGGGCCTCCCTGGACGGGTGCTTGGCCCCGTTGGCCTCCTCCTTCATGCGGCGGTGGTACTGCTCCAGCTTCCTCTGCAGGTGGGCGATGCTGTGGGCAGACTTCTGGTTCTTCTTCTCAAACACCTGGCAGACCCACAGGATTAAATGAAAGGTAATACTATAATTGATACATTTTCTTTTAAAAGTGGCTTATAAACATTCAGAGCACTTGGCAGATGCAGTTATGTAGCATCATAAAACAACAAATAAGTGGGATGTAATTGGACTGACCTGACGTATGCGTGCCACCTGCTGCTTGTCAGCGTTGTTGACCAGTTTGAGGTACTCTGCCACGTTCTGGTCCCTGGCTGTCTGTTCCACCTTGATCTGCTCTGTCACCTTGGGGGAGATCACACACAGATGGGCCCATGCTCTCGCTCTCTCTTGCACACACACACACACACACACACACACACACACACACACACACACACACACAATACACCCCCCCGCAACACACACACACACTCACTCACCTTGAGGATCTTCTGCTGCAGGCTGTCGATAGCCAGTCGGCCCTTAGTGAAGTCCAGGCCCACACCTCCCTCGCCTCTGTCAGTCACCAGGTTGGACTCTGAGCCCCCCCGCCGCATCGGCACCGGGAGGCTGAGGACGTTGTTCCCATCGCCACCGCGCTCTGCCTGGACACACAGAGACAGACAGACAGACAGACAGAGAGAGACAGAGACAGACAGACAGAGACAGAGAGCACGACAGACACACACACACACACACACAGAGAGAGAGAGAGAGAAACATGTCAGATATTGAGAATGTCACTTTAGAGAGAATTCAATTGAATTTACACTACAGTAAATGACTCATGCATGTATGATAAGACAATATGAGCTCAGCAAGGTTTATGGTAAACAATCTCATAGCAACATATAGTTAGATAGATATTGATCATTTTATTGAGTGGTAATTATACACTGTCGTCAAAATCTCATCTCTTGTAATGTAAACACAAGCTCCATTTCTAGGACTGTCTTTGTGTGTGTGTGTGTGTGTGTGTGTGTGTGTGTGTGTGTGTGTGTGTGTGCACGTGTCAGTCTGTGCGCCCTCTAACCCATTCCCCAGTATGGCCTTGAGAAAAAGAACTGGATAGGAGGATCGAGGACAAAATATGCATGAAACAGAGTGCTCCTCCAAGTCTCCTCTCTCTGCAGACTTTAATGGCTCTACTGAGTGGCTAGGGCAGTTTGTAGCCTCTGGGTTTACAGGCGCAGCCTCTGATGCAGAAACAGCTTTGACTGTTAACTACAGGGACAGAGGATGATTACATAATAAACCAACCTGATGCCTGTAGTACAACTGGACTGTCTGTACCCTGAATATATAACTACACTGTTACCTTGGCAGCCAGCAAGCATAAAGCCAACACACACACACAAGGCAGCAGTCATAGCCAGCTTGTCCCCATCTATAATTTACAGGGCAGAGTCAGGGCCCCTTATCATGTCCAACAGTAACTGATGAGATTAATAAAGCAGGCAACAGCAGCTTTAGTCTACTGGTTCACACATCACACATTTTGCACCAATTACACCATACTCACTCACAGTCTCTCTCTCTACCTCTCTCTCTCTACCTCCACCTCTCCACTTCTCCACCCTCAGATTCCCCACCTCTCCATCCTCAGATTCCACACCTCTCCATCCTCAGATTCCACACCTCTCCATCCTCAGATTCCACACCTCTCTCTTTTCAGATTCCCCACCTCTCCATCCTCAGATTCCCAACCCCTCTCTCTCTCTCTCCTCTCCATCCTCAGATTCCCCACCTCTCTCTCCATCCTCAGATTCTCTCTCTCTCGCCATCCTCAGATTCTCTCTCTCTGTCTCTCTGTCTGTCTGTCTGTCTGTCTCTCTCTCTCTCTCTCTCTCTCTCCCTCCCTCCTCAGATTCCCCACCCCCCTCTCGCTCTCATCCTCAGATTCCCCACCCCTCTCTCTCTCCTCCCCATCCTCAGATTTCCCTCTCTCTCTCTCTGAGTGCCAGTTAACTAGGTCTCCATCCCCAGACAAACGCTATCCTGTAGCAGGGCCTTATGCAGTCAGGCCCAGGGCACAGATGGCCCCACCAGTCAGTAACCAGGCTATTCTGCCTGGTTCAGAACCTACACCCACATCCTCGAGTCAGCGTGGCCGGAGAATTAGCTGACCCTTACATGACCACAACAGGCCTGAGGGATGAGGGACAGCAAGCGATGTCGTCTGCCCAATCTATCACACACAGACACAGTACACACCACATCCTGCCCACCTCATCTAATCTGGGAGATGGGTTGAAGAATGGTCACTAACATTTTTGTGGTGTCTCATAGTCAGTATTCCAAACACGTACAGGGTGGAAACTGAGAAAGGGAAGAGACACACACCACATGACACACACACACCATATGCCACAAATGACTGTCCCCGGGCCAGGGCTGAACTCAGGTCAGTATTTGTCCTCTACACCGAACCGGTATTAAAGCCAGTCAGATTACAATTTCACAGTTGTTGTGCAGATGGGGGCGCACACACACACACACGAGCCTGTGCCCTCTCCCTCTCTACTCTGTCTAAATACACAGCTGAAAAAGAATGCATCTCACACCGCAACACAACAACACGAGGCACACACACTGCCTGGAGAGAGATAGTTTGTTAGTTGTAGTGTTGTGTGTTCCATGTAGGCCTGAGCTGCTTATCTCAGCGTGTTTCCCCACAGTCACACACACATCTGAAAAACATCTCAGTGCAGGAAATCACAGTATGACCTCGCCTATTGATGTACTGGATCGTTTCATAAAAACTAAACACAAATCAGAACAGCAGCCAGAAACAAACTTACTGTCTGGAGATGAAGAGTTCTAAAAGAGGCATCAGTGTGAAATTCATGTCCAGGAAGTGGTACTAGGATGTGGGCTAGTTCAGCTTGTCAAACCCATTTGATAGGCCTAGGCCCAGCTAGTATGGATCTGTCCTATCAGTAGAAGGACGATTCCACGCCAGCGGGAGCAGAGTATTTTCTGTAGATCGTTGACAATAAATTACAATTAAATCTATTTTTATCTCACCTTGTAACACAACAAAATGTGGAAAAAGTCAAGGGGTGTGAATACTTTCTGAAGGCACTGTATAGGTCTAAAAAGGCCACGGATAAGTGTGCGTGTGTGTGTCTGAATGAGCTGATGATTGAGTAAAAGTAGAGAGATGGATGGAGAGTTGTAAAGAAAGACAGGGTGACAGTCAGTGGATGAGTGAAGAGGCAGTCTTGACCGGTTTGTATTATGTGGGTTATAGCCTATAGCCTGGCTGATCTAACCCAGATAGGACTTAACATAAAATAATACATCAACCATTCTGCATTCAAATGTATTTTGTTCCCATAGAAATGATGAATACTCGCACACCACTCTGAGATTAATAGGCTATCCATTCTGACCCACATCAGACTGCAGCACACACACTCTCTAAACCAGCACACCAGAGCCTGGGAGGAAGAACGTCACAATGATATTGGTGGGATTCAAACAAAGGGATTTGGGTTAAAGAGATGAGACTTTGAAAACTATCCCCCCGAGCCGTCGCTCACAGGAAATGACCTCACAGTGGACCCGTCATGACCCCGCCAGCCATTCTACAACAGCATTACCCAACAGCCTATTCACTACCATCTACGACATCACAGGTGCTCTGTGACTTTAGTAACACTGTTTTGGTACCACACCTCTGGTTCTTACACAACCTGCCCACCAGCCACCTACACTATCCACACTCACCTTGAATCTGGCACTGAGAAATCCACATAGCAGATCAGAGGGCAAGGTGGAGATTTTACCATATTGCTTACTGTAGTGTATAGCATAACTTTACAACTCTTTCAAATCTACATTAAGTGCTAATTGGCTACAATGGGTATAGGGGTTGTCTGTGGACTGCAGGGCCAGACAGGGTTTTATACACTATGCAGTGTTGAGCGTGATACAGACTAGCCTATCCTTGGTAATTTATAGCACAGCCTCCTAAAACACTGGAGAGGCCAGGCGCACTGCATCTTTCTGTCAACCTGTGGCCTTGCAAATCACAGCACAGCACAGAATAAATGTGTTGCAAACCTACTCAACCTGCATAACAATATATTGACCATTTAGCAGTTAAGTTCAGAACACTGCTCCATCAATCTGCTACAGTGCTACCAAAAAGACATGAAATATATTACTTTTAAATGTTTTGATGTCGATCTTTTTTTAAGCGCTGAATCATTGACAGTCCGAGATGGTCTGGTAATTGTTCTTGTTGGGTGTATATATAAATAATTTTTATCCTCCTCTGGGCTGCTGGTATCCCTCTCCTCTGCTCCCACTTCTCACCCACGTTCTAACTCCACTGCCTACTAGCCTATTGTTTGTCTAGTCATTGTTTTGAACTGTTCTGCCGGCTGCCTCTTAGCCTGGCTAGCATTGTGAATGAGAAGAGGTCCCCAGACCAATGCTCGACTTGGGCAAGAGCTCAGCGGAGCTGAGTACCAGCACTTTCAATGTTCTACTGCTTGAGCTCCTGTTCCTCTTATAGAATATTAGCGAAAAAGTATTGTGGAGCTCCTGCACCTAAATATAAAACAGTACCGGCACCCAAAATGAGTATCGGAACCTATTTCAGTCCAAGTCAAGCACTGCCTCAGACTCCTCAATTGACTCGACTGGTATGATTAAATAACTGGAAGGGCTGGAAATATTTTGTTTGTTGCTGGTCTGGTTTGTGTGATGTGAAATTGAAGTGATGTGTTTGAAGTGCAGCCTGCCAGAGCTCCAGGCTCTATGGGGGAAAGGGGAGCAGACGGGACCCTGTGTACCCAGAGAGGGCAGCTTATTCTGGGGCAGAGGAGCTATCAGGCCCCCTGGGGCTCCTCCGCAGATGGTTGTGCTATTTCCACTGGGACGGATGCAATATCAAAGATACACACACCGCGGAAAGAAACGCACACACACACACACACACACACCACACACAAACACACAGACAGACAGAGAGACAGACAGTAACCACACCCTCAAGCATATATCTGCATAGCATAATCCAGTTTGGTGTGAAGTGGTAGCTGATGAGTCAATTTGAGCAGCACCAGTTCTGACCAGATCCCAGACCCAACCAAACTGATTCGCTCTGCAGTCTGCAAACCAGCACATACACACATACTCTTCAGGGAGAAAGAGACGTGGCCCCTGTGATCTGTCTGCTAGCCCTACTCTCAGAGACAGGTGTGAAAGACTGTAAACAGAACCTGTGTGTGTGTGTTAGTTAAGAGCAATTAGTGCTTTTTGAGGTTGTTTCGGTTCGATTATTACATTTACATTTTAGTCATTTAGCAGACGCTCTTATCCAGTGCGACTTACAGTTAGTGAGTGCATATATATATTACTTTTTCATACTGGCCCCCCGTGGGAATCGAACCCACAACCATGGCGTTGCAAACGCCATGCTCTACCAACTGAGCTACACGGGGCCCATTATTAAAAACAATATAATCCCGGTTTTCGAATTCGATTAAATTTTTTAAAACATTAAATGCAGTATGCATTATATGGGTTGAACGCTGTAACAACACAGAATAAAACAATTAATAAAAGTCACATGATGGTAGTGACCATTACTGCTTATCACTTATTATCCATCATTTATTGACATCATTTTACTTAAATAAAATATTTACGTTTTGGGGTATATTACATTTGTTTTATTTGATGACTTTATTATTTCATTCCAAGTCATCATCATCTGTCTGACAAAATCACTATTTTAGTAGTTCTTCAAAGTATACAAGGCATAATTTTATTTAGGGATGTCCCAGACAAAAACAAAATATGATCGACCGAAAGTAAGCTGTTCTTTCGACCAATCGATTGTTTGCAATTTTAAAACATGTGTTTTGATAAAATAAACTACAGTGGGGGAAAAAAGTATTTAGTCAGCCACCAATTGTGCAAGTTCTCCCACTTAAAAAGATGAGAGAGGCCTGTAATTTTCATCATAGGTACACGTCAACTATGACAGACAAATTGAGGGGAAAAAATCCAGAAAATCACATTGTAGGATTTTTTATGAATTTATTTGCTAATTATGGTGGAAAATAAGTATTTGGTCACCTACAAACAAGCAAGATTTCTGGCTCTCACAGACCTGTAACTTCTTCTTTAAGAGGCTCCTCTGTCCTCCACTTGTTACCTGTATTAATGGCACCTGTTTGAACTTGTTATCAGTATAAAAGACACCTGTCCACAACCTCAAACAGTCACACTCCAAACTCCACTATGGCCAAGACCAAAGAGCTGTCAAAGGACACCAGAAACAAAATTGTAGACCTGCACCAGGCTGGGAAGACTGAATCTGCAATAGGTAAGCAGCTTGGTTTGAAGAAATCAACTGTGGGAGCAATTATTAGGAAATGGAAGACATACAAGACCACTGATAATCTCCCTCAATCTGGGGCTCCACGCAAGATCTCACCCTGTGGGGTCAAAATGATCACAAGAACGGTGAGCAAAAATCCCAGAACCACACGGGGGGACCTAGTCAATGACCTGCAGAGAGCTGGGACCAAAGTAACAAAGCCTACCATCAGTAACACACTACGCCGCCAGGGATTCAAATCCTGCAGTGCCAGACGTGTCCCCCTGCTTAAGCCAGTACATGTCCAAGCCCGTCTGAAGTTTGCTAGAGTGCATTTGGATGATCCAGAAGAGGATTGTGAGAATGTCATATGGTCAGATGAAACCAAAATAGAACTTTTTGGTAAAAACTCAACTCGTCGTTTTTGGAGGACAAAGAATGCCGAGTTGCATCCAAAGAACACCATACCTACTGTGAAGCATGGGGGTGGAAACATCATGCTTTGGGGCTGTTTTTCTGCAAAGAAAAAGAGTGAAAAAGAGTGAAAACCTCCTTCCATCAGCAAGGGCATTGAAGATGAAACGTGGCTGGGTCTTTCAGCATGACAATGATCCCAAACACACTGCCCGAGCAACGATGGAGTGGCTTCGTAAGAAGCATTTCAAGGTCCTGGAGTGGCCTAGCCAGTCTCCAGATCTCAACCCCATAGAAAATCTTTGGAGGGAGTTGAAAGTCTGTGTTGCCCAGCGACAGCCCCAAAACATCACTGCTCAGCAACAGTGTGTGAAAACCTTGTGAAGACTTACAGAAAACGTTTGACCTGTGTCATTGCCAACAAAGGGTATATAACAAAGTATTGAGAAACTTTTGTTATTGACCAAATACTTATTTTCCACCATAATTAGCAAATACATTCATTAAAAATCCTACAATGTGATTTTCTGGATTTTTTTTCCTCATTTTGTCTGCCATAGTTGACGTGTACCTATGATGAAAATTACAGGCCTCTCTCATCTTTTTAAGTGGGAGAACTTGCACAATTGGTGGCTGACTAAATACTTTTTTTCCCCACTGTATGTAATGGGGAATTGATAGACACTAACAATCAAATAAACAATTCATACAATGAAGTTATGAAACAATGAATGTGAACAAATTGGCGGGAGAGCGCATTCTGAAAAGAGATGCATTGTGCATCTTAGCCACACTCCCCTTCTTCTTGGACTGTGCCATCCCCGCGGCCTGCGCAATGGATTTGTCTCGGCCTCCGCAATGGAGTAGTTCACTGAGATGGGCGCGAATCAGACAGGTGTCTCGTGTGCCATACAAAATGTATATTTGCTACTGCTCGACTACAAAAATCTTGGTCGACCAACAGCCTATCAACCAGTCAACTAATTGGTGTTAGGCCAACTTTTATTACTGCTGAATTTGATTTGATTTGATTACCAACTACAAGTCACTTAGATCATGTATTTTCAGGTAGATCCCTCACGAAGCAGCTACTCTCTATCCCTCTCGATCGAGCAATCTTCTGTCTCTTCTCTCTCTCTCTCAGTGTCTGCCCCACACTAACATTGCAGGAGTAAAAGAAACACACAGACTGGACAGGTAGGTCATTGTAGTTCATTACCACATTTTCTGCACAAAACATATGTAGAATATTGGCCTGTTGGAAACTACAACTCCCTACTACGTCACACAGTTCAGGATGTTGGTCAATTAGTTGTTTAAAAACCCCAAAATAACCAAAATTGTGTGTGTGCGTGTGTGTCATGCACCGCACCATAGCAGAGGCCAGAAGTCGGAGTCCAGCTCTTACCAGACTTCAGGAACAAGTCATTCCAAAGACAAAGGAATTCTACTAGTAATCAGGTCAACCCTTGGGCTGGCCAAATATAGGGCTGGGCTCCGGCATTTAAACATACCTGTGTTACTGCTACATGCCCTGACCTGCAGTGCTTACACTACACACACAGAGTGAATCCAGGCAACACTGGACAGGATAGCCACAGACTGTACCATCTGGTATGGTCAACACAATGTAAGAGTATTTTAAGCTAGACTGAGCTGCTCAACTCCCTTGTGTACGAGTGGAGAGAAGTCACCAATGGAAGTTCCATATAACCAGTTCAACACTGAAGTGATAGAGGGTTAGTAGTTAGGACGTGTGACTAAGAAAGAAAGAAAGAAAGAAAGAAAGAAAGAAGAAAGAAAGAAAGAAAGAAAGAAAAGAAAAAAAAATAGAAAGAAAGAAAAAGAAAAAAAGAAAGAAGAAGAAAATCCCAAAAAACAGAAAAAAACCCCAAAAAAAAGGGGAAGAAAAAACCCCCAAGCCATCCATCAATCACCGACCCTCCCTCCCTCCTACCCAAACTCCAGAACTCCCTCCCTCCAAACCCAAACCCCCCCGCCCTCCCTCCCCCCTAAACCCCCCCTCCTCCCTCCCCCCTCCCGCCCCCCCCCCCCCTCCATCCTCCCCCCTCCCCTCCCTCCCCCTCCCTCCCTCCCCCCCTCCCCCCTCCCCCCTCCTCCCTCCCTCCCCCCCCCCTCCCCCCTCCCTCCCTCCCCCCCTCCCCCCCCCTTTCCCCTCCCTCCCCCCCCCTCCCCCCCCCCCCTCCCTCCCCCCCCCTCCCTCCCCCCCTCCCCCCCCCTCCCTCCCTCCCCCCCCCCTCCCTCCCTCCCTCCTCTCCCTCCCCTCCCTCCCTCCCCCCATCCCCCCTCCCCTCCCTCCCTCCCTCCCTCCCCCCTCCCTCCCCCTCCCTCCTCCCTCCCTCCTCCCTCCCTCCCTCCCTCCCTCCTCCCCTCCCTCCCCCCCCTCCCTCCCCCCCCTCCCTCCCCCTCCCTCCCTCCCCCCCTCCCTCCCTCCCTTCCCCCCCCTCCCTCCCTCCCTCCCTCCCTCCCCCCCCCTCCCTCCCTCCCTCCCTCCCTCCCCCCCCCCTCCCCCCTCCCTCCCTCCCTCCCTCCCTCCCTCCCTCCCCTCCCTCCCTCCCTCCCCCCCCTCCCTCCCTCCCCTCCCTCCGCCCTCCTCCCTCCCTACCTCCCTCCCTCCTCCCCTCCCTCCCTCCCCTCCCTCCCTCCCTCCCTCCCCCCCTCCTCCCTCCCTCCTCCCTCCCTCCCCTCCCCCCTCCCTCCCCCTCCCTCCCCCCTCCCTCCCTCCCTCCCCCCTCCCTCCCCCCTCCCTCCCTCCCTCCCCCCCCCTCCCCCCCCCCCCCCTCCCCCCCTCCCTCCCTCCCTCTCCCCCTCCTCCCACTCCCTCCCCCCCCCCCCCTCCCTCCGCCCACCCTCCCCCACCGAACCCCCCCCCTATCGCAAACTCAACACCCCCCATAACTAGCCCCAGAAAGAAAACAAGAAAAAAAAAACAAGAAAGAAACAAGAGAGATGAAAGTCTGAAAGCCAGTTTCTAAGCTAGAGATAACAAACTCCTCCAGTTTTTCTCAGTCTTGTTAAGTGTACAGATAAAGTCTAATGAGCCTTTCGCTGCCCTGCAGTGGAACACATCAGCCCCAGAGTTGTCATTAGCACCGACTTGGACAGATCCCGGAGAGGAGAGTGTGTGTGTCTAATTTATAATTTAGAGTGGTGCAACAGAGAGAGTTTAAAACCTAATATAGTGACCCGGCTACCAGGCCCCGGGCAAGTAGAGCACAGCCCTCAATATGTCACAGCTAAGGACCAAGTCCATTAACACACACTCGTATAGAGACAGAGGGTAGAGTCCCCAAAGACAGGCCAAGGACTGGGTCAGCACTCAGGTGGAGGGAGATGGAGGGAATATGTCATGTAACAGACAGAGAGAGAGGGAGAGAGAGAGAGAGGAGGTGGGAAAAGAGAGATATCCATCTTAGCAAAATCAATAGACTTAAGGGCCCAGTGTGGTCAAAAATGAGATTTTCCTGTGTTTTATACATATTTCCATACTATGAGGTTGGAATAACACTTTGTTAATGTCCTTTTAGTGTAAGCGCTGTTTAAAAAGACTGCCTGATATTTCAGCCTGTTTTGGTGGGATGGAGTTTTGGCCTGACTGGTGACATCACCAAGCAGTAAATTAGTTAATAGACCAATAAGAAAGAGAATTCCAAACATCTCTGCCAATAAAAGCAAGTTTTCAATTTTCCCCTCCCCACAAATTTTATGGGGGGCAATTTTAATTGAAAACAATCACAGCAAGGTACTTAATTGTTACCTAGAAATGATTTGATATTGAGATGAAAACCTTTAACATCCATTTACAAAATGGAGAGCTCTGCTAGGACTAAACAGCCCCCCAGAGAATAACATACACTAATGAAAAGACTGACAGAAAAATAGGCTACACAGTACAACACACACTACTCCTGTAACATATGGGAGTGGTTAGGCTGGGAAGTGTGTGTGTGTGTGTGTGTGTGTGTGCGCGTGTGTGTGTGTGTGTGTGTGTGTGTGTGCACGTGGCCAGGACCTCATCAAAAAAGCCTGAAAAGATGTAATCCTCTCCTTTTTCATCTGACATGTAATCTCTTTTTTTCCAGAGACAAGATTACCCAGCAGCCACCACCCTCAACAAACACACTCTTTTAGATGGAGAGAAGAGGATATAGATAGAGAGAAGGATGAGCACATAGATGGAGAGAGGTGGTTGAGGATAAAGAGATAGAGAGCGAGAGAGGGATGAGGGGTGGCTATAAAAAGAGAAAGAAGTAAGGGATGGATAGAGAAGGAGAAGAGTTGAACAAGTGTAACAGTGTAATGTTATTGGTTTAGGCCTAAAGAAAGAAAGAAAGAAAGAATAGGGCTAGATAGAAAGAGAGAGGGAGAAGAGTTGAAGTGTAACAGTGTAATCCTGTTGTAATATGGGAGAGGCCTGGGGGTTATACTGATATTCTCATCAGCCGCTTGAGCAGCCAACACACACACTGCTCACTCACACACAAGTGTGTTCGCTATCCTGGTTTTTGGAGAAAGAGAGAGAGTGGGAGAGAGAAAGTTGAAGAAAGAGGGAGAGAGAGAGAGACAGGTAGTAGCACAGCTGCATTCCACATCACACACAACACAGACCCTCCATCTTTGGAGTTCTGATTAAGAAAACATCGTACTGCGCAGCACATGGCAGTCAAATCAAATCAAATGTTATTTGTCACATGCGCCAAATCTTTTCAGTCTCCTGAAGGGGAATAGGCTTTGTCGTGCCCTCTTCACGACTGTCTTGGTGTGTTTGGACCATGACAGTTCGTTGGTGATGTGGACACCTAGGAACTTGAAGCTCTCAACCTGCTCCACTACAGCCCCGTCGATGAGAATGGGGGCGTGCTCGGCCCTCCTTTTCCTGTAGTCCACGATCATCTCCTTTGTCTTGATCACGTTGAGGGAGAGGTTGTTATTCTGGCACCACACTGCCAGGTCTCTGACCTTCTCCCTAAAGGCTGTCTCATTGTTGTCTGTGATCAGGCCTACCACTGTTGTGTTGTCGGCAAACTTAATGATGGTGTTGGAGTCGTGCCTTGCCATGCAGTCATGGGTGAACAGGGAGTACAGGAGGGGACTGAGCACGCACCCCTGAGGGGCCCCCGTGTTGAGGATCAGCGTGGCAGATGTGTTGTTACCTACCCTTACCACCTGGGGGCGGCCCGTCAGGTAGTCCAGGATCCAGTTGCAGAGGGAGGTGTTTAGTCCCAGGGTCCTTAGCTTAGTGATGAGCTTTGAGGGCACTATGGTGTTGAACGCTGAGCTGTAGTCACAGAACACACACACACGTGCCAGAGCTCTTATGAAAGCAGTCTACCGACTAGGCGTCCACATCTGATATGTGTCAGTGGAACCAATGGGTAGATAATTGATCTAGCTTGCTCTCTTTAACACACACACACACACACCACTCCCCTGTGTGTTACGTAATCTAGTTATATTACCTCAATCTGTGAGCCTGGCTGTGTGTGTGTCCAGTCTGCTGGTCTGGGCTTTCTAGGCACACTTCAGTTAACAGACAAGTGTGTGTGCATGATACTGTAACTGAAAAGTACCGTAACTGAAAGGTACTGTAACTGAACGGTACTGTAACAATGTGTGTGTAGGTAGAGTAGAGTTCCCACTCACACTCTAATCTAGTGGAAGTAGCTCGCTGAATGAACCAGCTGTATTCCTGTGTGTGAGAATCAGTGGAGGCTGCTGAGGGGAGGACGGCTCATAATAATGGCTGGAATGGAGGGTAATGGATGGAATGGAGTGAATGGAATGGTATCAAACACATGAAAACCATGTTTTTGATACCATTCAGTCCATTCCAGCCATTATTATGAGCCTCCACTGGTGTGAATAGGCTGTGTGTGCACACATATAGACACCACATGCAGTCAGCAGACTAGAGAGTGTTAAATGCTTTATAATGTGACAGCTGGGCTAAACTGGCCATTACTTGAGTCGATATTATGGCCGGCAACTATTTGCATCCTCACATAAGCTTCTACAGGTAGAGATCTGTTTCATAATGATTGACTAAAAAGATCCTGTCATCTCTGAGCCTGTGATATAACACGTTAAGACAGCTCTGTGATACAGAAAATCCCTTTTAGTGAGTGTGTGTTAATCCGAGGCTGTGTTACTCACTATACCCGGCATCGCTGTTGGTTTGTCAGTGAGTGTCTGTCCACTGTAGGCTTAGCTCACACTCAATCCCTAATCCAACACACACACGCGCACACACACACACACACACACACACACAGAGACAGAGAAGGGAAGATAGAGGGATAGAGAGAAATACCTAAAAAGATCTGCCAACCTGGTCCCAGATCTATATAGCTTCAGCAAAGTCTTCTGACTATCGTATCGAGAGGAGAGAAGCAGCTAGCTGGTAGCTACTTTAGTCTATTAAATCAAACCCGTTTGCTCTGACTAGATTCCCTCTTCATCTGTTCCTCCTCCTGCTCCAACATGCCACTCTGCCTGAGGACACACACAACACACGCTCTCTCTCTCTCTCTCGGGTTGATGGCTATAACTCTGTCCTCATTCCCAGAAAGATTCTAGCCGATAGACCATGGATAACCCATTCCTACCCACCAACTCACACAACTCAGGGCGAGGCCATGAATACGGTATACACACAGAAAGAGAGAGAGAACAGAGGATCTCACACAGAGACAGGATAAAGAGAGAGAGAGCGAGAGAGAAAGAGAGAGCGAGAGAACACAATCTCGCACAGAGACAGAATAAAGAGAGAGAAGCTTTAGATCAACACCCCCAAAGTGAGTAAATGCCTTTGAGCATCATTCATGCACAGAGACATCAGAGAGAGAGCAGGAGAGAAGAGAAGAAAGAGAGAGGGCGAGAACGGGGAGCATAGAAAGAGCGATATCGGCAGCAAAGCCTGTATAAGATTGGGGGGTGGGGAAGGCTGAGACTCCTGTAGTTGCCCTGACAACAGAAGGGAATGACAGCAGCTAGGATACATCTCACCATAAAGCCCAACGGAGCGTCTCAGAGCCTTGGGACCCATAATTCAATACATTGAGGCCTTTCCTCACCCTCCCTCCCTCTCTCTCTCTACCCCTCTCCCAGAGGTAAGACCGAGCACATTTTATTGATTTGTGGTGATTGGACAGTAGCAGGAGGTATGTGTGCTCTCTGATTGATGTGGTCAGATAAGGCAGGCTTATTGTAGACATTAATATTGTACGCATCCAGACTGAAACAGTGTCTGTATGTAGCATGATGCCCTGGGAAACAACTGCAACAATCAGAACACAAGCGCTTGTTGCCTTGAGGCTGGCTAATTTAATCACCTATTGTAGAACTATTGCCCAGATTTTTTTTTTTTATATATATATTTTTTTCTTTAAAAACAACAATACAATACAAAGACAATACGAATGGCTGTTCCCACCGTCGGTGCACTGGTCAGTGGGTGCGCTCACCCACACCCGCCCCGAGACACCTCCAAGGCCCCGGCCCAAAGGAATTTTCCAAGGGCGGGAAGAACCATGCCCTGCCCGGCGCCTGGGCGGCATGGAAGCGAGCGCACCCATAACCACCTGCACACACACACCGATCACAGCGTGAAACCAAAACACAAAACATACAATAATCCCATCCCCATCCTCAGCCCTGATTGGAGGACCTCAAACATTTATACTGTTAATTTGTGTTATATTTATTCCAACCCTCATCAATTGCACCCTTCAGACAGCCAAAGATCAACCCATCTTTCCCAGTCAATCGTCATTCTACCATTTCCTCTCACAATACATCCCTACATTCTCCCATGGTGTCTCACTAGGGACTTGAACCTTCCCATCTGCAACATTTCTGCCGAAATTGCCCCGAAAATAAACATTTTACCCAAGAGCACAATTATATTTCCTATTGACTGACTGTGGTCCTTCAAATCACCCAGCAATACAGTTTGCAGGTCCATCCACACCCTGATATTATGGCATAACAACCATTCCTGGACCACCGATGGACAATACCAAAAGAGATGCTCTACGGATTCTGTTTCCGCATGGCAGAGTCTGCACCGGTCTAACTGTTGAATACCACATATACTGAGCATTCTTTTAGTAGTGAGAATTTTATATAATAGCTTAAATTGAAATGAACGAATGAATGCATCAATTGTTGTTTTGTACTGTATATCAGTTCATAATCCCGATGCCACGGTATTGGGACATCGAAAATCTGTTCCCAACTATCTTGAATTTTATGCGGCATAGTGGTCAACCCTCTTGACCGTAAGTAAAGCTGATACATTTCACGATTTATATTACTAATTTTAAGCCATTTATGACTTTTAATTGGTGGCAAACAAAATATACTGAACAAAAATATAAACACAACATGTAAAGTGTTGGTCCAATGTTTCATGACCAGAAATAAAAGATCCCAGAAATTTTCCATAAGCACAAAAAGCTTATTTCTCTCAGATTTTGTGCACAAATTTGTTTACATCCCTGTTAGTGAGCATTTCTCCTTCGCCAAGATAATCCATCCACCTGACAGGTGAGGAATATCAAGACGCTGATTAAACAGCATGATCATTACACAGGTGCACCTTGTGCTGGGGACAATAAAAGGCCACTCTAGAATGTGCAGTTTTGTCACACAACACAATGCCACAGATGTCTCAAGTTTTGAGGGAGCGTGCAATTAGCATGCTGACTGCAGGAATGTCCACCAGAGCTGTTGCCAGATAATTGAATGTTCATATCTCTACCATAAGCTGCCTCTAATGTCGTTTTCGAGAATTTGGCAGTACGTCCAACCGGCCTCACAACAGCAGACTACGTGTAACCACGCGAGCCCAGGACCTCCACATCCGGCTTCTTCACATTTTTACATTTTAGTCATTTTAACAGACGCTCTTATCCAGAGCGACTTACAGTTAGTGAGTGCATACATTATTTTTTCATACTGGCCCCCCATGGGAATCGAACCCACAACCCTGGCGTTGAAAACGCCATGCTCTACCAACTGAGCTACATCCCTGCCGGCCATTCCCTCCCCTACCCTTGATGACGCTGGGCCAATTGTGCGCCGCCCCATGGGTCTCCCGGTCACGGCCGGCTACGACAGAGCCTGGATTCGAACCACTGCGCCACTCGGGGATTGTCTCAGACCAGCCACCCAGACAGCTGATGAAACAGGAGTATTTCTGTCTGTAATAAAGCCCTTTTGTGGGGAAAAAACTCTGATTGGCTGGGCCTGGCTCCCCAGTGGGTGGGCCTATGCCCTCCCAGGCCCACCCATGGCTGGGAGGGCATAGGCCCACCCACTGGGGAGCCAGGCCCACCCATGGCTGTGCCCCTGCCCAGTCATGTGAAATCAATAGATTAGTGGCTAACTTATTTATTTCAATTGACTGATTTCCTTATATGAACCGTAACTCTGTAAAATCTTAGAAATTGTTGCGTTTATATTTTTGTTCAGTATAATTAATTCCTTTCTTGTTTAAGTCATTTCCTCTTCCATTTTTGTGGCAGAGCTGCGATGAGTTGGTTATAATTTTGTATTGAGCATACATCGCCATACACCCGGATTAATTGGTTGTATGACATAATTCTAACTTCGCTGTTTACAATGTCATTCATAAACATTCTCTCCAAGAAAATTGGTTTATCCTCTATCAGTACATTGGAGTTTAGCCATATTATTTGCTGTAATATATATATATATATATATAATTAGAATTGTAGCCAACTCTGTATTGCTTTATTTAAAAATGAACATCCTTTAAACACGGTTCCATTGTCAATCCACCGGAAATGTAACGTTTTAATCTGTATAACAGCACAGAGACCCCTTTTAAACATCGGATGTGCCTCTCTTAGTAGCCTACTGCACAACCAGTTTGGATTTAGATATAGTTTCGGTATAATAGAAGCTTTGATATTGAATAGTTTTAGCCTTCCAAATTCATATTTATTATATAAGTATACCCGTTTAACTTTGTTTTCCATTCCAAATAAAATGAAATATTTTTTACTCACATAACTTGAAAAAACATTCTCCTGGAGTCGGTAGAGCCATGAATAGATATGTAAACTGTGATATCACTAGAGAATTAATCAGTGTAAATTTCCCATGGTTTTTATCAAAATTGATTGTTGCAAGATTATTCAACTTTTTAGGAACGTGTACACCAAGCACATCAACGGCACCATCCGCCCATTTAATCGGGAGACCACATAGCAATTTAAAGTTTGTGTCTGTTAGAAACCCAATCCGTAATATAGTACACTTATCATAGTTGGGTTTTAATCCGGATATTCTCCATCCAATTTGCTTGTTTCTTTTGATAAATGAAACCAGATCTTTCCTGAATAAATTCCTCAAACTCTTTGTTTTGCGTCTAAACTATGCAGTACTTCTGTAGAACATTTATCAACACCATTGATGTGCAATGTTAGTTCTTCTATTTCTGCTGTAAGTCTTTTCTCTGTTGACCAAATCAGTTTTTGTTTTGGGGATGAAAATTGAATTGAATGGCCTCTAAAGACACATTTAAAGGCATCCCATACTATAAGTCGATCCGCTAAACCTGTATTACGCAAGAAGAAAATCTGTTATAAACTCTTTAGTTTTCGTTTAAAATGTACTGTCCGTCAATAAACTGATTACATTTCTAATATCCACGTCCTCGTGGAGTCTGTCATAGTTACACCGAGGGGTATAAGCTGATGGTCTGATCCTATTCGATCCTCAATCCATACTTTTTTCACTTTTGGCACCATAGAAAAGGATACCAGAAAGTAATAAATCCGACTAGCTTGATATTTCCTAATTACTGAAGACCAAGCGACCATTAAGGCATTTGGAATGTGCCATCAGCCACTCTGTTTCTCTCTCTCTCCAACACACTGGCCCCGGGGCCACAGTAAATTGCACTCACAACACACTGTTTAATGGCCTGTTACTACCCCGCCAAAAACAGCTCAGCAACACACACACACACTCTCAGTCTATCTCACACACACGCATACCACACACAAAACCCATCTGTAAATTATTTTTGATTCCTGTGTCGAGTTGGAATAAGACCTCAGGCAGTAAAAATCCTGTCTTTACCTGAGTGGAGCAGGCTGGGAAAAACACATCCGTAAGAAACTTACTCTGCCCAAGGGCAGACTTCCAAGGAGTTGTGAAAGGAAAAAACATCCCCATCCCTTCTTTACTCCCTCTACCAGTCTCTCCCTCTCTTTCTCTGCAAGGCAGGAAAACATTCTCTAGTTAAACAGAGGAGAAAGGACAGAAACAGCATATTCTCCCCATAAACTTTTGATCGATTATGCACACATGCGGCACTATACTACATACATATACAAACTCACAGACACACTATGCGACACTACACCATACACACACACAGGGTGGAGCTGACCTTTGTGTAATCAGTACTAAAGACGGAAAGACTAGCGAAGCACTAATGAATAAATAACCTCCAACCTTAATAACACCCTCCATCAATCACACTTCACACTCCTCACCTCTGACTGTCTGTCTCTCTGTCTGCCTGTTTGTCAGATTAGAATTCTAGTATCTCTGTTGATGTAAATGATTTGAAAGCTTTATCTCTCTAAAATCACTTTATATTCAGTGAAATGTGCCAAACGCTTCAGTCAGTGTGTGTACTTAAATATGAATGAGTGGGGATGGTGGCCGGGCAGAGAGAAGACAGGAAGAGGGGGACAGTTTTTATATGACAGATGCTAAATGGACACGCACAGACTGTCGAGTGCTGCTGGCTACAACGTGTGTGTGTGTGGTCATCATTACCAGTAGGTAACCAGTAATAACATATGGATTTGTCTTCCATAATGTAAATGCTAAGCTGCGGATGTTAAATCTAGGCCACTATCCTTCAAACTGCAAAACATGTCAACTACCTGTCAAAATATGGGGCATGTGTACTAGGGAGGGGAGGGTGAAGTGAAAAGTCATTTTTCTGGCTCTCAGCCGCTCTCCTCTCCTCTCCCTAATCTGTTGTCGGTTCCAGCCAGGGCTCTCCCGTCCCGGGGACTCACGGACAAGCCGCCACTCTCCAGCCACGCTAATTTACTAATGGATGGCTGGCGAGAGGCCAGGAGTCCCCAAACGCTCCTTTCCACTCCAGTGGCCGTTACCGACCAAGGCTTTCCACGGTCAGATGGAATATGTGCAACCTGCCAGTGCCATCACCTGGCCTTCCCTTCACTCTCCTCCAAGTGCTCCATCACAAAACCTGCATCCTTTCCCCTATGTCTACCCCCTATAAGGGATATATAGCTGAATAACAGCTAGACCCCTGAGTAAATATCCTTCTTTACATTTCATTCTTTCATACATTCATTCATTGAGGGGGTGGTTTGTCGTATACTGGGATAAATAACTAAATTTAGACAGTTTAGTTTTGCATAGTCTATCCCCTTAATGGGTCATGGTATGGGAATCAGCTATCAGTGTTTTTGTTTGTGCTATAAGTATAACTCCTCAATGTATCTCACCCACAACATTACAGTTAAGAATTAACACAAACACCAGAGACAAAACAACTATACCGTGGTCAAACTACATAGTGTGGAAATGGCAATATAAAGCAATGCGTTTAGGGACCACGTCCACCACAAACATCTGGCTGCACATTTGCTCCCGACAAAACCTCTGGGGTAAAGGCACCGAATTACAAGAACCTACTTCGTAATTTTGTTAAACAGCTGTTGTGTTCATGCACGAGCACTTGACAGAGAGGTCGCACGCAATAATTATGTGGTTTATGAAACGAGCTGCAGTTGCCTTTACATTTTAGTCATTTAGCAGACGCTCTTATCCAGAGCGACTTACAGTTAGTGAGTGCATACATTTTCATACTGGCCCCCCGTGGGAAACGAACCCACAACCCTGGCGTTGCCTTCAATGAAACACCTGCCCAGCAGTACAAATCCTTGTCAAAACAACAGATACAAACACTGAGTGTATAAATAACAAATTCAGTTAGACATGTGTTGGCTAGATTAAAAAAAAAATCTAAAGCAATAACAAAATGACAACAATTGACAAACAGCCTGTAACTATGGAATTATCTGAAAATATTCCTAAAGTAGATTCCTAAACATGTCCTTTTGCACTTGACGTTCCCCTTTTTTAAATTACACTGTCTCATATGATGTAATGGATATCGTGCACATCATTTCCCAATCAAGTCGCCCCAACACTGGAACGGTTTCGAACTCGACTATCAGTCACGGATAAGCTGTATAGCCCAAATACTTAGTTAGCTACGGTTAGTTCGCATAGAGACAACTGGTTGTTGCTACTCTAGCTAACATAGACGATACATATTGCCGATATTGTCCACTACAACCGCCACTAAGAAGTGATAGTAGGCTACTGAATGTCAAACGTGACAAATGTTGGCTAACGTTAGCTCGACAGACGCAGTCAGATGCGTTAGCTAACGTTTTAGACATGCAAGTCGCTGTCATTCCACCGAAGATGTGAAGCAACAAGGAGGGCATATTTACCATTTCGCCGCAGATGTAATATCTCTCTACTTCTGATAAACTTTTATCCACAGCGGTATCAGCACTGGGCATAGTCCCGTAGTTTGGTCCGTGAATGTGGACTTGACGTTCCCCTTCAAAAACAAAGTTACAAACTGTCCATCGTGCTCACGCCGTCCGGGTCGGAGAGCTCTCACTCACCACCGCTGTTAGGTGATCAGCGTCTCCCGCGGTAATACGCTCCCGAAGCACAGGACATAGTGCGAAGCGAATAGACTCCTCCCACTACTCATTTATTTAAAATAAATTAAAATGACTGTAGCCAGAGTTTAGTTGGGTGAGAGTTTAGAGTTGTGTTGCCTGTGTTGAAATAAACAACCATCCAATATTATAAATAGGAATATACAGTAAGTAGCCTAAAAATGGAGAGAAGGCATCAAATGCCAGACTTAACGTTTTACTAATGGCAATTCGAATGAATAGCACTAGACTCTGATACAGTGAAGTTCAGGGACATTTTCCACCGAATGCAACATTTCCATTTAGCACTGTCCTGGGCACAGTGGCCTTATGACTTCCCAGATACCTGATATCATCAGCGTGCCTGTACCTGTCTGTGACTGGCACATCTTTCCACAGAAGCCTCAACAATGCCCCATGCAGGTGGTTCACTGCATGCATTTGTGCTACAGAGATAGGCTTGGTAAGATATGTGATAAAAATAGAGCATTTCAATAGCAAGTCAAGTGAGGTAGCCTTGGCCTAAGCATGTCACCCTTTGGAAGAGGTAGTGGATACCCCACCATTGTCTCCAAGGATAAAGGTCCCCATAAATAATTCAATAAGAAAATCTATTTTGTTGTGTCATCCATTTTTAAAGATACAGTTGGCAGCCCACTACACTGCTGGCTAGCTGATTAGTCCAGTAGATGTGTCGCGTGACCCAGGCCCAGGAGGTTGTTGTTATTTTACTGTACATAAACAGAATAGGACATTTAATCCTCAGTTTATTCATATGCAGGCTCCCACCTGTCAGACCACCACATCGCCTTCACAAGGTAAACCAGCTATAACATACCTGACCATACCTGAACAGGAAGCAAACACACACATATGCACATATGCAAATAGGCCTACATATTGGAAGTGGAAATGGTAGTGAACCAAAAGCCAAGGAGGCAATATGTATGGAAACCCATTCATTGATTTGAGGCAGAGAGATAATGATGATCGCACTGCACTGCACTGCACACTGTATAAAGGTGGATGTCGGTTGTGAATAACACATAGGCCTACGTACACACATACACACACACACACACACACACACACAGTATATGAAAATGGTAGCCAAGGAGGGAATATATCAAATAAAATGTATTAATTGATTTGAGGCAGACAGATAAGGATTACACTTTCATTGACTGAATGAATGTGTGAAGGTACTGCTTAAAAGTGTGAGTAACACACACACACACACACACACACACACACACACACACACCTAAACTCACAAAGTGCTGTGGAGTCAGATGTGTCTAATTAAGCGCTGGGCTGGCACAATGAGAGCCAACGGAAAGAGAGAGCGAGAAAGAATACTGAATGAGTCACACAGCCGTTAATCGTCATAACGACTGGGCCAGTGACAGGTAGACATTCCAAGACTGAATGAATCAGCTTGGAGGGAGAGAACATCACCAGGCACAGAGGGCACGGTGTGCACAGAGCGGGGTGGCATGGGTGCCAAGATGAGATCAGATCGAATCTGGCTCTGGAGTAACTCATTAATTAGACATGGAGTCAATTGGAGAAGGGAGAATATGTTGATTAATTTGGTGGGGGTGAATCATTAATAAGTTATTTACATGTTGCGTATCGGAAATGCTTCAGCCAGAGACAGTACATAGTGACAATGGGCCAATTCCATCATGAGAGTAGTCATCATGTCTTCTTTACCTTCTCATTCACAACACAGCCTGAAAACAGCCTCTAGCCCGGTTCCACCAAGCCCCTTTACTGTTGGCAGATCTGAAGAAACCAGGTAAACAACATAGTGATGGCTCTATCAAGTCCTCAACTGTGTTTATGGGAGCTTCAACCATATTGCTTACGTCTATCTGGTTCATTCCATGCTAGAAACACAAAATATACTTATTGGGGCGGCAGGTATCCTAGCGGCTAGTTCGAATCCCTGAGCCGACAAGGTGACAAATCTGCTGTTGTACCCTTGAGCAAGGCACGTAACCCTAATTGCTCCAGGGTCACCGTTAATAATGGCAGACCCTGGCCGTGACCACACTCTCCGAGGGTGTCTCAGGGGGAGTTAGGATATGCAAAAAATACATTTCTAATTCACACTTTTACTTGAAATAGGGCAAATATAAGCACCCACCAAATTATTATTAGTAGTATTATTAGTATAAATAAGGTCAGAGAGCTAGATGGTGTTTTGGGATTAGGGACAGACCTCGCTGCTTTGATCAGACCATTTAACTAATCCTCTTCTAGACCAGGACCACCTATGTAGGCCTGTTGATTAGTTATTAAAAGTGTTTGTTTTATAATGAGGTATGGAATGTTAATTGGGTCTAAATTGGTGTTTGGCTGTATTGATTTGGCTTGGAGCACGATGTGTGCCCAGAGAGAATAGCTTTACAACAAACACGGATGCACGCATGCATGCTGCACACGCACGCAAACACACACATGCACGCACACACACACAGTCTGCTTATTTAACCCACTTTGATCAGAGCACTAATCAGAACTTCACCAGCCATGAAACATGAAATACACACACTCTCCTTTTCAGCAATATCTTATCTAAATGCCACTAGTGGTCTCGCTTGATAGTTCAGCTCCTTTGAGCTGATAATACAATTACTCTGAAAGATAAGGTTGCAACTTTATTAATATTGACTTTGCATAGAAAGACAGTGGGCTATAGTTCATCTGGTGTGTGTGTGTGCGTGCATGCGCATACGGTTTATCGCAACGCTGCCATTGTTCCACTTCCCCCTGACGTTGTGTTTGTTCTACACTTCCTGCGCCACTTCCTGTCTCTGTCCCAGACGTCACCCCAATCTGACCTCTACCTTCCCACATGGTTCCGGAACGTAATATTGAGGTGGAGTTTTGGAATGTTGATGTAGAGATCTGGAATGTTTTGGTGGGATCCTAAATTATGCCTCTATAAGAGTCATACTAGCTCATAACTGCCCAAAGCTGTCCTCTGAACACAGGTGTGTGTGTGTTTGTACGTGTGTGATCATGTTATAATCTTACGAAGAACAAGTACATTTAAATAAACAGACAATTCCCTCTGGTAAGGCATTGGAACAGACTGCTCTGAGGAACTCTGTCCCTTCTCCTTCCTGTGTGACTCAGAGAGATGCCAGGGTCAGATCAGGTCACACACTGTCTGGGTCTCTGTCACACAAACACTGTCTGGGTCTCTGTCACACACGCACGCACGCACGCACGCACGCACGCACGCACGCACGCACGCACGCACGCACGCACGCACACACACACACACACACACACACACACACACACACACACACACACACACACACACACTGCACTACTGCTCCTCTAGCAGTGTTAAGGCCTATATGTCCAGACTTGTGATGTGGTAAGCGTAATCGAATAATAGGAGGACCGATCACTATATGTACATATGTGAACAGAAAGTGTGAATCTGTATTCCCTGTTTCAGTCCTGTGTGTACCAGTGTGTGTATGGACCATGCGTGACAGACAGTGAGTGTGACAGTGTTTGTGACAGTCTGTGTGACAGCTTCCCTAATCTCTGAGACATCTCGACGCAGCAATGCGGGTACTCTGAAAGGATTCAGTATACTGAGGCAGAGTGAACAACACACACACACACGGTCCTTGTCTCTCAGTAATTGGGGCAGTGTGGTTGAACTGGTTTTTGGGATGACCTAATCCTACACCCTAGTTCTGTCCAGAAGAAAAACAACCTCATCTCTCTCAAACCCTTATGCATCATTCTGCATACCCCTTAAATCACTATCTCTCTCTCTCTCTCTCTCTCTCTCTCTCTCTCTCTCCCCCCCCCCCCCTCTCTCTATTGTGTCTTACTTAACACATTTTACATTAGTTCCAGCTGTAATGCTTCCTCTCCACTAATTTCTGATACGAGCTGCTGATTTTAGACTCAGTGAGAACACACACACACACAGCCACTGTTTCTATGGATGGGGTGTGCTAACGAACCAATCAGTCTCGTCGGCCTCATACCTCAGCCATATGAAATAACAAAGGCTACTTTCTGGCTGCCAGACATTATTAAACGCACTCAGAGGACAGGCTGGGAACGGATCAACACTGGGGTGCTAAAATTACATCATAAGTCATAACAGGACTGTACTAAACTGGAATGGCAGGCCTATTTACCCAGAA